TCACCAGTCACGTGGCTCCTGTCTCACAGCGAGTGGCACCACATGATTACAGTAATCCCCTTGGCCCTATTTATCTGCGAAACGGTAGAATATGCTTGCGGTTGCCCTAATCTGGACAGGCTATAAAACGAGGATGGAAATATAAGTCTAAGTTTTAAGATGAGAAACACACCTCTTGGAGGGAGGGGAAAAAAAAAAAAAGAAAAAAGAAACCAAGCAAACCTAAAAGAGAAAAAGCTTGAATACCCTGCCTTTAGCCAATTGCTCTGCATATAGAGGCAAGCATGTGCAGAATGTGTTTATACAAAACGTGGATTGACAGAAAATTAATCTCTGCTTTTCTATGGCTCACAAACCACGGGTTTAACTACTCAGATAAGTAATAGCTGGTCAATGAATAGCCAAGGATCAATGACAATAATATATAAAGGTGGATTTTATAGTTTGTATCTGTACTTTGAAAAACTTATGTAGTTCTTTTTATTCTACTACCTTTTCCTCTTGCCTCAGAGAAACGTGTCTTCTCCTTTTTTACTGCTGAATACAGACAATACATGCTAGCATCTGCTTTTGCACTTTAAAATGCTATGGTCCCCATAAAGTGCAATTAGTTTGTATGTGTTGTGCTGGTTTATTGTGTTGCCACTCCTGTTTGCATGCTAAATTGAGATTCAAATGTTCCACTGTAGTGTGTAATTTAGTTACCAGGAGGGAACAGCTGCAAAACTGATAACAGCTTCTCCCGTGGTGCGGTGAGGTGCGGGCTGACCCTGTCTGCAGCCTGGGTGTGTGGTGCTGCGGGCACAGCCCAGCCTGCTGTGCCTTCACCATCGCCCCGCCACCCCCGGGGACCAGAGCACTGATGGCTTCCGTCTTCGGAGATGATCTAGATTCCTCCACCCCCGCAAACAAGCTTGGGATAGTTTAAAATAACTGCTCTTTCAGAGGTGAGGGGGAAGTTACTGGGTTAGGCTCCAGTTCAGCGGCAGACGTGTCAGTCAGGGACTCCACTGCCTGCCAAAATCATCCCAAATGGAAAGATACTAATTTATTTGTTCACCTGAAATACCTCCCCACACACAACTAAATTCATCTGCTGTGACAAATACCAGTCTAATTTATGACCTAGCAACAAACTGGTTTGCAATTAATGCATAGCTTTATATTTTCAAATTATACAATCAGAAGTTTGCTATTAATCTTGTCAGTTATGTCTATATTATGCTCTTCAGGCCGGCTGCTGCCATGTCCCGAGAAACAGACACGTATTTCTTTTCCTTGGAGAACACAGTGTTATAAACCTTAGTAACTGGGAAGAGAGGAGCAAACTTTTTTTTTTCCCATCACTAAACTCACATTTATGGCAAAGATGTAGGAAAGAAGTTATTTTTGTTTAAAAAATTTATTTTAGTTTCTTTTAGTAGTCTTCTTTTAGCTAAAACAGAAAACATGGAGCTTGACAATTCTAAGACTAATCCTTTTTTTTTTTAAAATTTTGCTGAAGTCTCCAAACTAGATTATTGACAACATGATTGTGATGTAACTAAGACCCTACACAGGACTTAGTAGTAGCATGACATCTCCTTTGCTGATCAAGATGAGAGTCCCACTGTGGAAGGCAGACTTTGCCCTGAGAGTTTACAATCTGAATGGTATAGAAATTGAGGCAAGCATTTAATTTCCTCCGTGGTTTTTGTTTTCAGTTATTCCACTGTCTCGGTGGACTACAGGCAGTACTTTCAAGTACATGGTGCTGTATCAGAGGCTCATTCGTACAAGCAACCTTAACCTGCTTCTGAAAGCACTGAATACATCCTTGACATGCCTTTATCTTAAAAGAAAAAAAAGAATAAAAGGATGGTATTCTAACAGTGCAGCTTGTGTATTTGTTACTAGGGAAACAAACAGCCAAGAGAAAGAAACCCTCAGTGTCCTTGTCATTTGGATCTTTCAGTGGAGAAGCAGAGCTTGTGTTCAAACAATGGAAACATTGTTCTGCTGTGGGGATCCTTTGCTGTCCCCACAGAATGACAGACGCTCCTTTCTGCCCCTTGTCCATCTTGTCATCTCTGAAAGAAGAGTCACTTCTATCTCCAGGATTGGACTGATGGTACTTTGTTACTCCTCATGTAGAGTGTAATCCCTCTTTCTGTGTAACCTGGTCAGTTCCTAACACCTAAACCAAGCTCACAGCATCTTTCTCAAGGCAAACAGAAGAGAGAAACCAGATATTGCAAGCATGTACAGCATCACCAGCAATCCCAGGTTTGCGCTTCCAGAGAAACCAGATATTGCAAGCATGTACAGCCTCACCAGCAATTCCAGGTTTGCGCTCTTCGAATCAGTACTGAACCAGAGCTCAGCACGGCTTCAGAGTGCGTGCAAGGGGCACCCTGGCGTTTGCCACACGCCGTGAGGGTGCCTGCGCAGCCGTGGTCCCCAAAGGGCCCTGTGCAGCAGGAACACTGCCTGGGGGAACCCGGGGACGCAGCGGGAGCTTTGCACCAGCTCCAGAGAACCAGCCAAGTGTCAGCCATGGGCTGGGAGAGCTACCTGCAGAGACTGTGCTGTTTTGATTGCGACTTCCTGCTCAGGGCTTAATATTCCTCATTCCTCATCCTCAAAAACAGGATACAAATTGGAGCTATGGCAAACAGGCTGTGGTACAGTATTTAGACCCTGCAAAATACAATATAAATATTACCTGTTATTAAAAGGCCAAAGCAATTACTTCTGAAGCACACATACAGGAGTATTTGTATAGACAACTGCACGGCAGCTGTGTAAATAGAGTGTCAGATCAGGCATGCCAGATGACAACAGCCCTCCGTCGAGACAGGTATCCCTGGACCACATAAAGAACGGAATAAGAGGTCTATCTCCTGAAACAGGGAGAGGTAACAGGCCCCTCAAAATGAAGTAAAAGCAGCAGCTTGTTAAAAATCTGTAAAAGCCCTTTATGGGATATAACAGACTGAAGCTGTTTTTCAAGAAGCACCTCAAGATTTATGTAGTCTCTGCACTGTATCGCATTTAATGTAATTCCTCTACTAAATTATACTACATCCCTGCCGCCTCCTCCGTTCCAATTATTACCTCATTGTGTGTCTGTATCATACGCCTCATCTAACTCACCTGTGGGACCGGGCGAGGAACCGTGGTTCAATGTGCCCTGAAGTCAGTCAAAAGGATTATTTATCACCTTTCTCCTTTTCACAAGACCAGAGCTGCAGCCCTGGAGCTAAAGAGAGGATGGGAAAACTGCAATAAAAGCCCTACTGGAAATACTTTCACAGATGTTTGTTTCCTGCTGTTTTGCCAAAACATGTTTCTTCTTTATTGTGCAAGCGTGAATTTTTTGTTCTGTTTTTCAAGAATGGCTATTAATTTGCCATTAAGAAGGAAGAAACATACGACAGAAATGTATAAACACGTGAATTGTGTTAAAAAATTGACAGGCAGAATAAAATCAACTAGCACAAGGTTTATTGATTATTGTCTCTATCTGAATGGTAATGGATTCTATTTCTCTAAAACCCTGCAAAGTGCCAAGGCCTCTTGGGTACGAAAAACACTTGATAAAGATTTGAAAAAAAAAAAAAAAGAAAAGATGTGAGTACCGACAAGAAGAAAAGGAGGCACAGAAAATGTTATTGATGCTGCATTTATGTAGCATGACAAGAGCCCTGCCTCGGGGTACAGCGTGTAAATGACAGCTTCGTCACGGCTCCCTTGGTTGGTATCTCTGTACTCCTCGCCTGTGGAAACAGAAGAGTACAGCCAAAACAAACAGTGGGTGCCTTTTATTTACTTTTTTTAAGGAAAACAAGATCACTGCTAAGAGACCTCGGATGCTTCTGAAGAGACTTGTATGCCAGTTGTATTTTGGTTTTGTTAATCTTCAAAATAATTCTTTTATGCCTGAAAAGCCATGTATTCTTTACAAGTCCCCTTCCTTGGAGATTTTCAAGACCCGCCTGGATGCAGTCCTGAGTAACATGCTCTAGCTCTAAGCAATCCTGCTTCAGCAGGGGAGTTGGACTAGATGATCTCTATGGTCCCTTCCAACTCTAAAATTCAGTGAAATTCAGTGAAATTCAGTGAAAGTGACGCGTTCTTCCTGAATCAAGAGCTCTGACCCATTCTGCTTCTCTTCCACTCACCAATTGCCTGTTTTCTCTCAATGTTTTTTCCTGCAGCACTGAACTTTTAACAGGCCCGTGTCATCTCTCAGGGTTTTACCTTGTATCAGAAGTGATGTGACAGACAAATAAACCCCTGACACTGCTTGTCGCCACGTTGTCCCCTGAAAACTCCTCTGGGAACAGGCTGGGCTGAATCACAGAATTGTAGGGGTTGGAAGGGACCTTTGGAGATTGTCTAGTCCAGCCCTCCTGCCGAAGCAGGGTCAGCTAGAGCAGGCTGGACAGGATTTTTAGTTTTGAGATAGTCAAAAACAAAGCAGGTTTTGAGTATCTCCCGAGAAGGAGCCTCCGCACCCTCTCTGGCAGCCTATTCCAGCGCCCCGTTGCCCTCGAAGTGAAGTTTTTCCTCACGTTGATACGGAATTTCCCGGCTTGTGCCGGCTGTCCCGCGGCTGGACACCCCGGAGAAGAGCCTTGACCCTATCCTCTCGCCGCCTAACCTTTGAGGTATCGATCAGCGTCGGCGAGATCCCACTCTCAACCTTCTCTTCTCCAGGCTGAACACCACCCCATCCCAGCTCCCTCAGCCTAAGAGAGGATAAAGCCAGGATTGGGAGTGTGGGGGGGAGCGTGTTGCTCCTTGTGGGCCCCTCAGCACCTCAGCGGCCGCGCGCGCTTCCCGCCTCCCAACGCCCCGCGCGCTTCCCGCCTCGCACAGCCACGCGCGCCCTCGCGCCCGGGCCCCGCCCCTTTTCCCCTGAGGGCGAGGGGGGGGGAGGTTCCCGCCTCGCACAGCCACGCGCGCACGCTGATTGGCTGGCGGCGGCTGTGGGAGCGCGTTTAACGGGCGGCAGCGCCGCGAAGAGGAAAACAAAGGCGGCGGCGGCGGGAGGGGGAAGGAGAGAGAGGAGGAGGATGGCGGCGATGGTCCGGCCGCCCCGAGGGCCGCGGGGCGCTCGTCTCCCGCCCGGCCCCCGCTTATGACCTCGTAAGGTTCCCCCGCGAGGTGCGGGAAGCCGCCCCCTTCTTTGTGTTTTTATTTTATTTTTTTTTTAATCGTTCGGTGAGGCCCTCGCCGGCCGCCGCCTGAGGAGAAGGGGGCTCCGCCCGCCCCAGCCCCCCGTCCTGAGGGAAGGGGCCCGGCGCTGCTGGGGTGAGGAGCCGGTGCAGCGGTGAGTACGGGACGCCGGCCCCTCTCGCTGTTGTGTTTTAAGGGGGGGGGAGGGCGGCGGGGGGAGCCCGGCGGTGCTGTGGTGGGGGGCCGCCGGAGCAACTTTGCCGGCGGGAGGAGGGCTCGGCCGCTATTTATAGCGCCTGGAAATGACGGCAGCGCTGCCGGCAGCCTCCTCGTTACCGACGGTTTACATAATTGAAGCGGGGGGTGGGTGCAGCGAGTAGTGGTCCGGGGGTCCCCCCTCCCCGCGCTCCCTCGCGCCCCCCGGGGGCCGTGCGGCCGGTGCCGCCGGTCCGCGTTCGGTGGGGGTAAGAGGGGGACGGCGCTGGGCTGCGCGCCGGCGGTTCGGGGGAAAGGAGCCGTTGTCCTGCGGGGATGGCGGTGGGTTGGCGCTCCGTTGCGCGGAGGGAAGGGGCTCAGCCGCGCTCGGAGCGGCGGCTCCCGCCCGGCGGGGGAGCACAGCGCCGCGCTGCCGGCAACTTTCTTCCCGTGACCGTTTTGGTGTTTTGTGTTGGCTTTTTTTCCCCCTGCCGTTTCCCGGTATCCAAAGCGGACAATGAGGATCCCGCATCCCCACCGTGAACTTGGCGGAGGTGTTCCCGGCTGGGGCGATGGCACGGCGGCTTACCGAACGCGCCCGTCCGGGCTGTGTGCCGCGGGGCACGGGCTCTCGGGCTCATCTTGGGTCACTTCTGCATTTTGATTTTATTTTATTTTTTTGAGTCCAGAAATGACGGAGAGGCCGTTTCTCGGCCGTTCCCTTGCTCCGCGCGCTGCCCGCGGCTCGGGAGGCGGTGCCACCCTCCCCGGTTTCGGGGCGGCGGGCGGCTCGTCGCCTTCCCTCCGCTGCCCGGTCCCCGCCGGGCCGCCCCGGCCCCCCCCGCCACGCTCGCCGGGGTGTTTGTTTACACATCCGGGAGCCGCGCGGGGCGGGGCCCTCCCCCCGCCCCATTGGCCGCCAGGGGTGGTGACGTCACGGGGCGGGGCGGTGGGCGCGCGCCCTCGGTGTCGGGACGGGGCCAGCCCCCCCCGCGCGGCGCTGTCGCGATAGCCCTGGCGCTCGTGCCGCCGCCGAACCGGCCTGTGGCGAACCCGCGCCCGCCTCCGCGCCTCCCTGGCGCGGGCTGCGCTGGTGGCGGAGAATAATAATAAAACAAATAAACAAATGGTTGACTGCGGGGCTGGGCGGCGGCGGCGGCGGCACCGGTGGCTGCCCGTAACCATCAGCGGGGAGGGAGGGAGCGAGGCTGGGTTTATTCACCGCTGTGAGAGCGCGTTAAGAGATGGTCGGTGTTCGGAGCCCGGGCTCTGACATCACAAAGCAGCGGATTCTGTGGTGTGTCTCGCACGCGCAGCGCTGCCGCCTTTTTGAGGAGAGAATCTCACGTGCAGCTTTGTCAGGAGGGCTTTGGGAGCCTTCGGCTTGTGTCCTTGGAGGACTCTGTATATTGAGTCTGAACGAGTCCAGATTGCCTTTAAAAAGTGCATTCAAACAGCTCCTAGGACAACCTTGAAGAAAAATATTTTTCTCTTGTGTTGGATGTGCTGGACTTGTGCAGCATTGAGCTCCTGTTTCTGTTACTGCTCCAAAGGGTCTAATCCACAGTTAGAACATCTTTGCTTGTGGTATGTTTCATTTGGAAACCTGTCTTCCTCCATTTAGTGAAACTAAACAGAATCTGTATCTTCTTAGCATTGAGTTCAGGCAGGGAACTGAAAAGGAACATCATGTTTAATTGCCAGGACTGTATTTTTTTGTGTCTTCTGTTTTTGTACAGGAAAGGTGGGGAGGGATAGGACAAAGGGGAACTGTTTTACACTGAAAGAGGGGAGATTTAGACTAGGTATCAGGAAGAAATGTTTCACTGTGAGGGTGGTGAGATATTGGCCCCGGTTGCCCAGAGAAGCTGTGGCTGCCCCATCCCTGGAGGGGTTCAAGGCCAGGCTGGATGGGGCTTGGAGCAACCTGGTCTGGTGGGAGGTGTCCCTGCCCAGGGCAGGGGGTGGCACTGGGGGGGCTTTAAGGTCCCTTCCCACCCAAACCATTCTATAATTTGTTGCCTTGAATAAGTGTGGCTTAATAACTAGCTGTTTTATGGAAGCAATCTGTTTTCTCCAAACCCTAATCACTCTTCCCTTTGCACCTACAATTAAAGATCTTGGGACAATAGGTATATAATATGTTTAAATTAGATTAACAATAATGATATATTAATAATTAAGTTTGTTCTTCAAGCTAACTACTGGGTTAATATTTCAAACATATTATTGAATCCCTTATCTAATCTGTGTTTTCAGTGACTAGCAAAAGGCCGATAATTCTGGTGTGGAGATAAGTGCTTTGGATGGCAACTTGCTCCCAATGTTGCTTTATGTTTTGGGTTGCATATATTCTGCTACGTGTCTTTTTTGTGGCTTACCTCTGCCTTTGCAATTCTTTGTGTAAGAAATTTTCTTCGGAGTCCTTCAGTAGTTCTTGAGTATTTTCTCCTGCTGCCATCATAAGTTAAGATTAAAAAAAAAACCCAAATCCAACCCAAAACCCTTTAAATCTTGCTGTGTTTGTGTCTTGTGCTAGGCCTGCTGTACAGATCACTTGTGCAAGGCTGCTTCTGAATCACAGGGACCACTTTCTATAAACAATCTTTAATTTATGTGGCTTTCATTATCTGCCTTATTTGTGTTTCTAGTATCCTACCGCTGGCAGAGTGGTTAGCTGCTGCCCTGTGCAGAGTTTACAACTGTGATAAATGTTTTGCGTGCTCGTTTTAATGGCTGGATCACGATACAGTAAATCCTTTCTACTGGCTCTCCTCCTGTGTTTGTGCTCTTGACCTACTCCTCGGTCACCTGATGCTGGTGACACAAGTGACGGCGCCGTGTTCCTGTTTGGATTGCTCATTAGCCTGACGCACACAGCGTGGTGGCTGATGGCCTCGGACCCATCAGTGGGTATTGTGGTGAATATTCAGAATCTGTAATTTTCAGGCAATGTCCAAAAAAGGCTTGGTTTCCAGCAGAGCGGGGAGGTCTGGCCTTCTCTGTTTACGCATGTAATGTCTCTTAAAGGCACCCTGAGGATTAAGAATGCAACTGGGTATTCTCTCTGTAGGATATAGCTTTTATTATCTGACTGATTTTGGTAGCATCCATTAAGCATCTATTCTGGTAGAGTGAGGAAGTATCTAATTAGCTTTGATCAGGACACTAGTCAAAAAGGCTTTTGCCTAAGGCATAATTCTGCTGAGCTTGAAAGAGGAGGAGACAGGGATCCCTGAGTAGGGTGGCAGCGTCTTATTTGGTATTTGACTTAAAGCCAGATGCAATACAGCAAGATTTTTGCTGAAAGCCAAAGTGCAAGTATCGTATGTTTATGGTTGGACACAGCAAGTGTTTTTCAAGGTGCCTTGTCACTTGCTATATTGGAACTGACCACTGGAACTTCAAAGAAAATGAATTTTCTCTAATCCCCAGCCTTTTTGCTGTAATTTTTTGCATGGATAACTTACAGAGTATACCTGGTATATTGTAAAAAGTGCTTGTGGTTTGTAGAGAACTGTTTGTATCTCTTCTTCATTAGAAATGTGATGGAGTAGGTGCTACTAGTGTCACAGAACTGGTTGTTGCTGTCTTGAATGGAGCTTGAATTGAGCAGCTTGGTAGAAAAAAGGGGCCTGTAGTGTAGCCAGGCATTTGCTCTAAATAACGCTTGGCTTTGTCTCTAGAATCGTTGAATAACAAGTTTGTTCTGGCCTTGTTGTAAGCTGCTAATTGTTCTGCTCTTTTCACCTGCAGGTTGTGACTGTTTCTCTTCTGTCATTGGTGTGGAAAGTGCCACACACACTCCAGAACAACAACGGCTTTTGCTTGCATATTCCAGTGTTTCTTTTGTCAGCGAGTTCAGCAAAGTTGTAATTCTTCAAGTGCCAGCCCTGAGCTGAGTGAGGAGCCACCAGCAGAGATGGTAAAAATGACAAAATCAAAAACGTTCCAGGCTTACCTGCCAAACTGTCACCGGACCTACAGCTGTATCCACTGCAGAGCCCATCTCGCCAATCATGATGAATTGATCTCCAAGGCAAGTGGCTTCTTTAGAGACCTCGTGAATTATTTCTTAACCAAAACGGTTATCACTGTATCACTGCTCTCAGTAGATGAGAGATGCAAATTGATGCATCCCTCAAAGTATCTTCCCTGGGTTCACTCTTGGGTCATACATACTGTGTACTGATGACTGGATACATTATGGAAACTTCTGAATATGACGTAAAGGCTGATCTAATCTATTCCCCATATTAACAACCTCTGTCTGCTGTCAGGTGGGTATTGTCTGTGAGCTGTCATACCTGGAAAGGCCAGTAAGGAAAGCTGTCAGAAGAAAACATTGATCTCTGGGTAGGGGAATGATTCTGGGCATGGTTATTCCAGATAAAGATTATTTTGGACTCTACTTGCTGTTTCCAGAATGTGCCACTGCTATAATGGAATATATAAACACGCTTATTTCTGCTGTATGCCAGTTCCTGAGGAATATGATTAGCCAGAGATGTTCAGAATAGTTGGACTGTCTAAAGTTAAGCTCAGAGGGCTGATCTCTGGGTAGGGGAATGATTCTGGGCATGGTTATTCCAGATAAAGATTATTTTGGACTCTACTTGCTGTTTCCAGAATGTGCCACTGCTATAATGGAATATATAAACACGCTTATTTCTGCTGTATGCCAGTTCCTGAGGAATATGATTAGCCAGAAATGTTCAGAATAGTTGGACTGTCTAAAGCTCAGAGGGTGTGTGGATCCTTGAAACAGGCTAGGCCTGTCCTTACCTGTTGCTGGAAGAAACCAAGATTTGTAATGTATGAAATACGTAGGAAAACTTGACGTTTGAGATAAATACTTGACAGACTGGTTCATTCTTTGCTTCAAATAAGCTTCTGATGGATTTGATCTTAATGGTGTCCTGGGAAAAAAAAACAAACAACAAAAAAAACCCCACAAAACACTTGTTGTTTTTCAAACCTCAATACAAATAGCTTTCTATATAACTATTTTGTCAAATAAAAGTTTGTGGCAAACCCTTTATAACTAACTCTATCTGCTCCTGCCTGTTTGTGTGTTCAGCAGCACAAAGAGAATGCTGCTACTTCTGAGTTGAGGTTTTCTTTGGGTGAGGAGAAAGGATCTCTGCTTGCTTACCCCTTAGAGGGTTATCAGGATATGATGGAGTTTCCTTCTGTAGTTTTTATTGTGTTACTAATGTTTCTGATGTTTTGGATCTCAAGACAACTTTTTGATTCAAACAGTAAAATTGGTGACAGTTCTTGGCAGTGTTACTGCTCTGCCTTTGGTCTCTGCCCCTAAACAATTCTTTCCCTTGACTTAGCAGGTGTATTGAGGCCTGGAACTGCAAATGTGACACATCACATGTGAAACAGTGAGCTAGCTACCTATAAAATCATGGGAAGAAATTAAGAGGGAGGACTTATTTTACTTCTATTAACATGAAAAAAGTTCCTCACTTTCTTTATAGTGATCTTACCTTAAGTTTAGCAAAACCAAGAGAAATATTCAAATAGTAATGTGAATGCATCTGGGTTTTGTTTGATTCCATGTTGATTTCAGATTTTGAGTACAAGGAGTCTTTTTTGGCAACACTGGATTGTAAATGACAAGCAGTAATAGCTTCATTATTCACTATGTGTTCTGGGCCAAAAACAGTGGGAGGGGTTCATCTTTCCTGAAGTTCAGGTTGTAGATGCCCACAGAAGAATGAAACTGCTCGCTGTGTCTTCTGAGATGTACAAACTCACTGAAAATGCAATCCAAGCACACACACTTAATAGGAAGCTCTTCCTTTAGTGGACTTAGATATTATTTTTTTTTTTGCATGTTGACTAAACCGTAGCAGTTACCACATGAGCCAGTTGTTCTCCAAGGTCCTGGGAGTTCTGGTCAGTGGAATATTTTGAATATGTTGTTAAGCAAATCACATGTTCATACTATGGCTTCATAAATTTCAATTCACAGAACATGGAGAACTCTAAAATAAAAAACAAACTATCTAGTAAATAAAAATACTTCCAAGTTGTTTCTAATGGTATTGGAAAGGATGATAGATATAGATTGTGCTTATTTCTGGCTTCCATAGCTTTCACTGAAGACATCTTTAAAAAGTTTCTGTACCTGCAGGTTGACCATATGCTTGTTGACCAGCTGATCCCTATTCTGTCAACTTGGGATTCCTTAACCACATTTTATTGTCTCAATCTTTCTGATAATGAGAAATATGTTTACATGTGGGGTGTATCCCTTTGATTATAAAATAAAAAGAACATTTCTCATCTATTGTATTTGGAACATAGCTTTAAGCTTAACCTGCCGCAATCACAACATTGGTGAAGTTCTGATGGAAACAACTGCGAAGCAATAGTTAGGGACACTTGGACCATTAAAAAGTAGTAGTGCTGTCCTCGGGGGTGATAGAGGGAGTGGTGGGAGGAAATAAGATTTGATTTGGTTTAAATGAAAACACAGCTTAACCTGGAAAATAAAACTTGAAGAAATATCCTAGATGACATGTGTAAACATAACTTAGACCTGGAGAAGGACTAACAGATGAGTGTACATCAACAGGTTTTCTATACAAGTCTTTTTTTCTAAAGTTCTCCTTAATGTGCATCCATGAAAGCACCTTCATCTGGAACCCTTGTTACTGTAACTACTCAGCTGCACCAAAAATACTTGAAATAACCTGAAGGTTTGCAAGTTCTGTACTCTTGATGCGTTGCTTTGTGTTAAAGTCCACTCAGATACAAGTAGAGCGGAAATAAGATTTGATTTGGTTTAAATGAAAACACAGCTTAACCTGGAAAATAAAACTTGAAGAAATATCCTAGATGACATGTGTAAACATAACTTAGACCTGGAGAAGGACTAACAGATGAGTGTACATCAACAGGTTTTCTATACAAGTCTTTTTTTCTAAAGTTCTCCTTAATGTGCATCCATGAAAGCACCTTCATCTGGAACCCTTGTTACTGTAACTACTCAGCTGCAGCAAAAATACTTGAAATAACCTGAAGGTTTGCAAGTTCTGTACTCTCGATGTGTTGCTTTGTGTTAAAGTCCACTCAGATATAAGTAGAGTATACATCTCTAGATATTTTCACCCTGTAACCTTGTGTTTTCTGGGCTTAGGGAGGAGTGGGAAGAGTGGTTGAGAACAGGAGCCCCAAGCTAGAGGGTCACCAGTAGTGGACGTGCTGGCAGATGTTACCCTGTACAGCTGAACACACACACACATCATGAACCACTGCTGTAGCTTACACCCCAGTCATCTTGGGGAAAGCACTCATTTGGACGATACTTAATACAAGAACTAACAAACTGTAGAGGACTTTTAGTTTAAATAAGTGTAATTCTGAAGTGGTGTTAGGTACCTCTTAGACGCTACTGATTTGCATTGTTAAGTCTGCAAGTGCTGGATTTTCTGCTTCTTTGGTGAAGACTTCAAAGTGAGCATTAAACATATTACAAAAAATACCATTAGAAGGAGCAGACCAGTCTTCTCTAGACTGGGGGGCATTCGGGGGAAAAACCTGCAGCTTTTTTATTTCTTTAAAGATCAAATAGTTAAAAGACCTGTAGATGTGGTGCTAAGGGACATAGTGGATGCTTGGCAGTGCTGAGTTGATGGTTGGACTTGATCTTGAAGATCTTTTCCAACCAAAACCATTTTGTGACATTTTTAGACTCGCATCCTATGACAATGAGCACAGAGTAACCTCCAGGAACGAGCGACACAAGCCTTAGTACGGAGCAAGGCAGAGAATGGATGCCATAGGAGGCATTCATTGGACTTAAATGTTTGAATAGCACATAAAAAGTGACCCAACAGTGTAAGTTCCAAAGTGCTAGAGAATGGCTTGTACCCACCAAGTTCCAGCAATTGTTCAGAAACTCAGTCAATGTCCAACAAATGGCAAAGCAACACATATGCCTAATAGAAGTTTTGGAACCCAGTGGAGGTATTGTACAGTGTAATGCTTTAAGAGAGCTGACCTGCTTGAAAGACTGTTAAATCATCTTGTAAAGTGCCTTAATGCTGGGGGTGGAAGAAGATCTGGATTACTTTGTATAAATACTGTCAACTTTCTTCTGTCTCGTTCATTGCAAAGAATGCTGACCAGAGGGGGGAAAAGTCGGGTGAAGTCACAGACCAGACTAGATGTGTCAATGTTTTCAAGAACAAGTTCTGCATAAAGGTATATATATACACACATAACTGTCACTGAGTTCACTTGGAAATCCTTGCCCCTCATGGGTAAAAGAGCAATCTTGGTGGTTAAATTTAGTTCTCCAAGGCATTTGGTGTGTCTGCTGTTATATTATTGATGAGAAGGAAGAGTCTTCAGCTTAAATAGATGCCGAAACGTTTTTAGCCTTGCTTAGCAATCTGTGATTTTGCCCTCCTCTGTTTAACTGATGAGTTCAAGAGGAATTTTTTTAAGTGTTTGTTGTCATTCAGTAAATGTGCTGTTCTTAGCTTGGTGCAATTTGGTAATCCCCCTTTGCTCATGATATAAGGAGTGTTTGGCCTGTTGTATGGTTGAAGTTCCCTGCTGAAAAAGCTGAGAGTGGGCCTAGTATCATAAATATTCTGGTGATAATTTCTTTTTCTCTAAGAGAATTCTATTTTTTGGGGTTCTGGTTGGTTTGTTGTTGGTTTTTTTTTCCTCTTGGGGGAAGAATCTGGTTGTTGAAGAGAAGCAATCTTTGGAAAACATCCAGTAGTAGATTTGAAGGCTTAAAGGAGTTGGAAAGTGTGCAAGGCAAGTGTTCCATTCTACGGGTGTTCTGACATAATCGTTTCTGAAATATATTCAAGATGCTGTATAGCTCAAGGTAACTTGTCCTGCTGACAAAGTCTTCACTTCAGAAACACCATTTCCCCGGATCTGCTGGCATGTGACAAAGTCTTCACTTCAGAAACACCATTTTCTGGATCTGCTGGCATTCAGGTTTTGGGGTGGAATTTTTGAAGGTTATTCTCTACATATGCTTTATTAAAATCAGTAAAT